GCACTTCCCCAGCTGCTTTACAGCAAAGACTTGGGAACTGGTTAAACAGGGGGCAGTATCTCATCGTCCCACAGCTAGAGTGATACTAAAGCACACATTTCTGAAATCTGAGGAAAGCAAACATTTCGAGATGGAACACACATTTACAGATTTAATTGCCCAACCTAAAGGCATAAAGCTGGTCTGCAACATGAAGTTGCATCACTCCACCAAAACTAGTATAATTAAACTGACATACAGCTTGCTTTTAATGCATTTAGGCAGGTAGAAAGATATTTCATCGTAGCAGCTACTCATACAAGAAAAAATTACGATAGCAATACTGGTGATTTCCTTAGAATAATCATTTTTTTGTAAGTCATCAGTTCATCAACTGAAATAGTTACAGCAATATAACTTTTTGTCCCAGACAGCAAGCGGCTGCCTAGTGCTTAGTTGCTGGCTGCCAGGTTAAACTATGACACTTTTAAATACAGCCTATGGTTAAACAACTGTACTCCTACTATTTGTCTTTGGTGCCTGCTTGGTGAACATTTACGTTGACAAAGAACAACTGCCACAGACCCCTGATTTTTCTTCTGAGATAATTTTACAAGATGCAAATACTTCCAAATATGACTCGCAGTTTTAATGGCAGCGAGTTAAAAATTTGCGACTGTCCACATAGTGAAGACATTCAGGAATATTATTTCCTAGCAGTGATGATGTAACACATGAAATTTATGGACAAGATCAAATGTTCTTTATATAAAGGGAGTTCACATTCTAACTACATGGATGACCCTTCTATCACGCCTCAATAACCCTTAGCACCTGAATTTCTAGAACTTACTGACCTGTGTACATTATTTTACAGTATCATAGACAGAAAAATGTATCATAGAGAAGTGTAGGTATAATTTTATCATTGTGGTTGTTTTCAGTATTAAAGAAAAACTTCTTTTGAAAGTTGATGCCTTCAATTAGCTCACTCCAAGTTTTCTGAAGCATTCTTTGCACAAAACTTTGAACTGCACTACTATGCAAACCAGTTTTGCTAATACATAAATTCTGAAAGATGAAATAAAAATGACAAAAAAAAAAAGTAGCATGTGAAATGTTTCACTATCAAAACCAACCACGTTGCAAATGTAGTGCATTCCGTGAAAACATCAATTAAAAGTACAAACAGTAATATTTGTACATCCTTTTGAGGAGAAAATCGTGTTTTCTTGGCGTGACTATGACATCTTCTAACATATTACAACAGATACCAGTCACCACGTTAAGCATTCAGAGCTGAAAAAGATATGCTGGTGGCTGTAACTATTTAATAGAAGTTTTTAACCACTGATCACACACATAAGAAATCATAAACTTTAACCTGAAAAGAGTAAAGAAATGTGAAGAATCACCAAGATCTTAAAACTGAACACTGATCTACAGAATCTTTCAAGTCTGATTACTATGCAATTTTTCTCCTCTTGTTAATAGGTTTTTACAGGTCTCTCTCCAAGTCCATTAGCTAAAACAATTACCAAAAAAAAAAAAAAGCTCTAAAGGATATTTAGGAATTCTTCACATAGTGGTTGGTAGCACTAGTTTTAAAACATCTTTGCAATAACAGTCAAAAGTTACATTTGACATATGACAGGGAAAAAATCGATAGCTTTGAGAAAAAGACCCATACCCCCTAAAAAAACTCAAATTTTTGTTTTCCCTCAGGGACCTCCAAGAAAATGAAAAACTTCCCTCTTTGCTAAAAACATTATCACATTTTAAAAAGAGGAAGGGCAACCTTGCACAGAAGGAATCTTAGTTAATACAGAAATGCACGTATGCTCATCCAAACCAGAAAACTGAGGTGTAGCTCTCAAACTGCACGTGACTCGCAGGTTCTTCAGGCTCAGGTCTGGTACACAGGGAGCCAGTTTCAAACATGAACCAAGGCATAACCTGAGGCGCTGGCACGGGTTGCAAAAATCCTCAAGCTGCCCCAGCAGCTTCAAAACCAGATGCACAAAGGAGCAGAAGGACCAAAGGGTCGTTCGCATCTGCAGCTCCCACCCATGTCCAGGCAGAAGGCACTCAGAGGCAACAGGCAGCACGGCCAGAAATCCCGGTTGACTCCGAAGGAGGAGATCAGTGTCTACACTGACACACAGAACAGTTCTGTTTTACAAGTTTGACAACACGAATAGTAAACACACCTAAAATCTTACCATCTTAAGCAGATCCAAATAGCTTTGCTATCTTTTGGTCCCAAGATTAAACATGGACATGCCCCCAAACTAGCACCACGAAAACCTAAACCACCACCAAACCTGCTAAATAAATAAGAGTAATACATCTGGAAAACCAAAGTCCAGCAGTTCTTCAACCCTCCCAGGAAATCACAATTTTTTTTCTGGAAACCTGAATCTGATCACCTCCTTTTTAGGATGGACCTTTGTAATGTAACCTTTGGTCCTAACACAGCCCAAAGAGATGTACAGTATGACTGGGATGGCCAAAAAAAAATTGGTTCTTCATAAGTCAGCATGTGCTTGACCAAATACAACAAGCAATCCACCAATGTGTAGGTTCTCCTGTCACGTAGAATCTCCTGTCCTTCCCAAATTTTCGTGACGTTGCATCATAGAGGCTGAAAAACAACCTTGTCTTAGGAATGTTACCGGAAAAGATCCACTATAAAGGTGGCTTCTCCAATTTTTTCATCAAATACCCTTACTATTGCCGAGAAACAGTGTCTCTTCATCTAAAGCACCACAACTGGCTGCTGCATTGGACCTTGTTTGGTCAAATATTTGACAGCGCAAGCCTTACTACCCAACAGCAAAACCGCTGTAACAACCAGATCACTGGCACCGCTACAGAGGCATTCATACTGCAGAATCAGCTACAGTACTAAAATATAAAAACAAATTCCTTAATATTACCTAAAGCCTTACAAGAAAAGGAGCGGCCCAGCGTTATCACATCCAAGGATCATAAATCAGACAGTGACGTCCTCCAAATGACAACAGTCATCCCCTCATCAAACCACACTGGTTTTTCATTTTAAAGAAAATGTTAATGCTTAATCAGAGCCAAGTCTAAGGTTTACTGAGAACATTACGGCATACAAGCTCAGAAAATGAAAACAATGGGATGCAAAAATCACTTCCAGTGCTTCTGCAAAAAATCTTACGTAATCCAGTATTTTCTCTACTACTTATTTAACACCATACAAAGAACATGGCTGACTGCACTGCCAACAATGGAGCTTGCTGGTGCAAGCCGAGCACACACCAGTTTACTACGTTAAGAATTCCCAATGAATGACTTGCACTGAAGGGCAAAAAGCACTTGGAAGACACACAAAAAGTAAGTGTCCAAGATCCTATGCACCTGAGCAAGGGCCTGAAATGTTCAAAATACATAATTTGCTGTGGAAGAGCTTACAGGAAGCGGAATTAATACGCTGCTAAGTGCCAGCACTGGTCACACAAGTTCAATCCACTAAGGCAGAATCAAAGCGTTCAAGTTACGTTTGAACATCACAAGATGAATACTTATTTTTAACCCATTAGTTACTGACTCGTCCATCCATGAAACCGCTCACTACGTTATGTTTACTTGTTGGGAAAGTTTCCCTTAATGGCAATTTCTTATCTTCGTATTAGTTACCAAAGGAATACTATATGTATTCCCCTGACAGAAACAACCCAGCACAACAAACATCAGCTTATTTCTCGGGATTCGTTCGAGTACCTTGAGTATGCTTACAGCATTCAAAACCATCAGTAATTACCCAGACATTTAAATCAATGTTGAAGACGTGAAATAATGGAGAGCCACGGGAGGAGAGCTCTTCATTTTGGATTAATCAACAGTTTTCTCTGGCATTCATTCTTATCCTGGAAGCTAATAAACAGAGCTGCCAGGAGGGTTAAGAATGCAGCAGCCGAAATACCCACGGGCTCTTGCCCTGCCACAGCAACAACCTGACCGTGAGGGATCGCGCTGCTTTGTCGGAACGTCTTCCAGAAAAAAAAAATTAAGAATAAAAAAAAAATAAACATCACCGCATAAACGCGGCTGCGGTAACAGCACGGCCGACGTGCAAAGACACGGGGGAGGGGAGCCACCACCGAGGCGGGCTCCCGCCGCGGAAACCGCCCGCCGCCCGGTAAGCAGGTCCCAGAATCA